GGGACATGAAAGGCAATAAGAAGGGCTTCCAACAGCAGAAGAAACCTACCAACAGCAAAAGGACTCACAGGTGAAAAAGCAGGACTGACACTGAGTGGGGCAGGGAACCCAGTGACAATGGACATGATTAAAGGCCAAGGTGCTTCACCTAGAACTTCATTAATAAGACTTCCTTCAGGAACCCCTGGACTGAGTCTAATGAAGGGGCATGAAGACTGGAGCATATAAAAAATGCTTGAGAAAGCTAGAGCTGTCCAGTCTATGACAGAGAAGGCTCACAGTAATCTTAGCAATATGTGTGAAAAGGTAGAAATAAAGATGATGGAGTCAGACTCAGTCATATTCAGTGGCATGGTAAGAGACAAGAGGCACAAACTGTAATAGAAGAAATTTCATTTTAACATCAGACAAAAAATTCATTCTTCAAACACTGGAACAGGCTGCCCAGAGGTGTTTATGAAGTTTCCATCCTTGGAAATATTAGAAACTTAACTGGGCACAGTCCTGAGCAACTTGCTTTAGCTGCCCATGCTTTGTGCATGACTGGTGGAATAGGCCATCTCCTGAGGCCCTTCCAAACTCAGTGATACTATGATTCCAGAAAGGGCTACAAATCATGCATCACAAGTACCTCAAAAATAAAAGCTAGGAACTTCAAGCATTTGATTTGAAAATGTGTTTCACTGACCACATAAGACAGATGTCAGCAGCGGAAAAGCAGTCTCTGAAAGATTTTTTTTCAAAGGGACAAAAGAATCTAGCATTTTGTTCTGCTACAAAAAATCTCATTATTCAATAAAGATCTGAACAGCTCATAGAACTTAAATAGTAATTATTCAGTGATGTAAATAGTCACTAACAGTCATCAAAAGGTAATGATTTTGTGTGTTATAAACCTTGATGCCTTTCAATACTTTGTAAATGGTCTGGAATTAAGTAAAAACTGACTCATAATCAGATTTGTAAATCCACCAGAGTCTGCATGTTAAGTAAGGTAAACAGGGAAACTGTGCAGAGGGATCTGGAAATTAATTTAGCAAGTTTAAGTCCATTCTTACAGCACATACCTTAATACAGACAAAGAGACACAGAAGCAAGGAATACCTGCTTGAATTTTACTGAAGGACTCTATCCAGTAAAATAGTGACTTCATCCCTTATGACTCCTAAATAATTGTCAAACTGTGAACAAAAACTTCCAGCCCAGTTCTGCCACCCAAAAAAAGGCTACTGCGCATGTGTGTAAACAGAATAGCAGTATGTGAGAATACCAAAATACATTTTACCTCTTAGCGTCCTTGATGAGAACTACAGTGAAGATACTGTAATTCTACTCTCGGAAATAATATGTAATTATATATAGACAGAGGAAGCACAGAAGTGATTTAGACTAAACAAAGCCTCATGTTAATTTCAAGAACTGCATTGGCTTAGTTTACCAAAAGATTGAGATAAACAATCTTTTGGTAAACTCACTCTGAATGAACAGTCATTCAGAGTGAATGACTGTTTTCATTGAAACAAGCAGTTTAAAAGGGTGTTTGGTGGAGAAGAGTAAAAGCAGAACCGTAAGTGATCACTAGCACTAAACAAATTCAAATAGAATTAAGTTATCATTTTTTAACAATGAGAAAGAATATTGAATCACCTCTTACAGGTTTGAAATTTAGCTTACCTACACTTCTGAAAAAGTAGGATAGATTATGCGTTGTTAAGCCCTATGCATGTAATGATCTAGGAGTTTGCTACCTTGCTATCTGGAACTAAATGATCTAATGGTCCTTTCTAAGATCAATTACTTTGTGGAAGTATCAAAACAGTCACATTTAATTAAAATGCAATTTATCCTTGTCAAAACTTAAGTTCATTATAAGGACACCTGTGTGACATGAGTTAAATCTGGGGGAAAAAAGGAGGTAATCAGTATCCCCATGATCCAGTATCCTCATTTTAAGGCATATCCTCCAATAAAAGCTGAACACTGACCAGCTGTCTATGGCAGTATAAAACATTTTCTTTATTTATTCTATGCTCCCTGATTGCTCAGACAGAATTTGCTAATGTAAGTTTTACACTTCTACTATTCTGCAGAATATTTATAGACTCCTGATATTTTTCCAATCAGAAGCATGCAATTTTAAAAAAGACATAGCATTAATCTATTAACCAGTATTAAAAGTCTCGTGAATAAAAATATTTCAATTTATAGGTTTCTTATTCCAATTTAGCTAGTTTAATTACATTTCAGTGAAAGAACCATGTTATTCCTTTTACCCTCTATGCTGTCTCCACTACAAGAAAGCATCTGTATAGAGGCGGACATTATTTTACACTGCACTGAGTTCAGCAGCATGCAGGTGGCCACAGTCCCTTCCCCTCTGGTGTGTAGGGCCTCAGGGCACATATTAAAGTTCAGCTCTTCATTCTGCAAATGACTGGGGAGCAGATGATCACTAAGAGAGAAAGAGCAGGGTTGAGAGAACAATGGATTTCTCCTTGGAGAATGAACATTAAACCTGACCAAGCAAAACAAGAAACTCATCTTGTCAGTAGCAGATATGTTTGTTTTCTCCTCAATAATATGGGAAAACAAAGATACTTCCATTTTGGAACAAACCAAAATGTTTCATTTTGCCCAGCAAGAAACATTTTATTTTTACTGCAGGTGTTGCTAAAGCAAGCAAAGCAATGGATTAGAGAGTTAGAGTTAAGGCACAAAACCGAGTTGGGAGATGTCTCTTTTTCTCTTCAGAAGCCCTGGGTTTAAACCAGCCAACTCATTGCATGCACAAAGGTACTTAATTGCTCTCCTCCTGAGGAGATCTGAACTCAATAACTGCTCTCTGCAGAATGCCTGAAACACAAAACCCTTAGTAATTCTGCTGGGATGTTCTGCTGCTTTTCCTCTTTAAGGTATTCTAATCTGAAGTATCTATTGAAACAACAAGAGAAAAACATTCTGTATCTTCTTGCCATGTTCAGAGCCAAGAAGCCTGGCAAAAGCACATTTTATTTAATGCATGAGATCTAACCAATTGGCTGTAGTTTACAAGAGTTTCTACACTGCCCAACAACCATTTCCAAAAACCTCTTGCAAAGGCAGATTGAGGAATTTTACTTTTATCTTTCTTCCTCAATAAAACATTAAATAACTTACTATCTAACCCTCTGAGACTTCCTGTGATACTATCACACAGAGGTAAGTCACTGTTCCATCTCCATTTCAGAAAACAACACCCTAAAATAGTTGTGGGGAATTGTTTCTAACCTGTAGGTCTCCTCCTAGCCCAATGACACCCTACCCACTGTGTCTATTTTCTAACATTTTTCTTGATCAAAATGGCTGGTTGAGTGACTACTAATTCATCTCCTGCTGAATGCAGAGCAGAAAATATCTACTTCTCTGCAGTACATGCTGATAGGTAAGAAATTATGTGTTTTCCAACAGAGTGTTTAAAACTATATCTGTTTCTCCAATACTAGCTGAATCATTCAGTTCTGTAACATCATAGCACAGGGTTGTGTTTATGAATTATGGGTCTCTCCTGAACACCAAAATGCTGAAGTTTTCATTTTGCTCTGCCAAGATACACCTGCAGCTCAAATACAACAATCTAACTCTGCAGACATGCATATTTTCAGTTTTCTGAGCTAAACAAAAAAGTGGTAGCAGACAGCAAACCAAGCTTTGTTTTGTCCATCTGTGGCTGAAATACACTGTTGACTGGACCCTGCATACCTCTTCAGCTCTAGGAGGGGCTTTACTCTCTCTACATTCCTGGGGTGGAATAGCTGTCTGCACACTTTGCTGGATTTAACAGCCTCATCTCCCAATAGGAGCTATTATTAAATTAAACAAGGGCTAGTCCAAATGGATTTGGTTTTTTGGTGACCTTTTTAGTGACAGTATGTTCAGGGAGGGCTTTCTCAGAGGAGTGAAAGAACAGATGGGCAGCCAAGGCTAGCAACTCTGTTCACTTTACTGTGTGGGCTATTTTTCCCCTTGCACTCCCCAGGAGTATTTTCCTGCTATATTTTTTGGCTGCAGTGTTAATACATTTTAGACCATTGTTTATACATATATTCTTATGGTCCAAGACCTAACAGCACAATAATAACACTGTTTATCTAAAGCCTTTTTAAAGCAAGATTGACCCTTACAAGAAGTGATATTAGACATGACAGTGTGTAAGTTTCCTTCATTCACTTCAGCTTAGGGCTCTGCCTCGTGAAAGCCTCTTTTCTGTAGCCTCTAAAGTTTTGTTCTAAATCAAAATTCAGTATAAATGCCTTGGTGCTCACTCCAGGACTAACTTTTTATCACTCCTGATTGTGAAATGCATTGGATGCCAATGATAACTAATGGAGCACTCTGAAGAAACAATGTTTTCCAAACAGATTGCTGAAAACATACAGATGTTTTTACAGCACCTCTTTCTCCCAGAACGCTTACCAGACATCTATCACTGCATCAAGAAAAATTTAAAAAACAAAATAAAACACAAACAAACAACAAAAAAACTGGTCTCAAGCATTGCCTACCAGATAGCTCTAACTGCAGTACTGAAAATAATTTTCTTTACATAAATAGTTCTTAAGGATATGTGAATCCAAAAACCATTTTTCATGTGAGGGTTTTTTCCACCCTTACAGAGAACAGTAACTGCACCCACACTATGGATTATTTCCCCTAGACCCTGTAGAACAAGAGAGTTATCACACTCTGCTGTAGGATACATAACATGACAAAATTGAAGGAATTTAAATTTTTGTGCATGTTAAAACTTCCTTTCTCTTTCCAGGATGGAGATATTTCCTCATGTGTCTTCAAATGTTCTTATTCTTCCAGCTATATATATTCTTATTCTTTCAACCCTTCTGTTGAAAGGGGTATGCCATTATTTTACTTATACTAACATCTTTTCAAGCTAAGTCATTTACATTTTTTCACACAGTTATTGCATATTCAAATTGCTTTTCTTCATATAGGGTTGTTTTTACCACATTCCCTTAGAATATTATGTTCAGAATCCTGTGTCCTGAAGTGTATCCATCTTCCTTTGCTACATCTGTCTTCTGTTTCAATGCTTGTCCTTGGCCTCATTGTGGCTTATGTCACAAGGCTCAATTCATCTAAAAATAAAAAAAAAAAATCCCATTTGATATCAGATTACTATCATATTATTATCCATTTTCTTTATCAGGAATTATTTTAATCTCTCAGTGCTGTTGGCATATTCACGTGAGTTTTGAGGTCTTGTAAGCTCTTGCAACTTGCTCTCGCAAAAAGCTTGCAAAAAAGCTCTTGATACAATTCTACCCCAATTCTTATCTCTTCTCAGCCTGTGTGCACTTTTTTTGTCTTCCAGACACCAACATTCTTTCATCCTTGCAGTATTTTGGATCCTCCATCATGAACGGCAGGATCAGAGGACAATATCTGCACCCCACATATCTATGCCTAAACCTGCTTCCTTCATAGGAAAAAGTCACTTTTGTCAAGCATAGTCCTGAGCGACACAGTAGCACGTTTTTTGATATTCTGATTTCACATTTTGTCTATTAATAAATCACAAAACGGGGGGGGAAATAAAAATGAAAAGGAAAAACAGGAAGGAGGAGGGGGGAAGGGAAGAGAAAGAGAGAAGAAAGAGGAGGAAAGAAAGAGAGAAGAAAGAAGAGGAAAGAGAGAAGAAAAGAGAGAAGAAAGACAGAAGAGAGAAGATAGAGAAAATGCCTCTTCAGTCACATCAGAGGCAAACAAGTTCATATTTATTTTCTTCTCTTTTCAGTTCTAAAATGAAAACTCAGATACTTCGTTCTTACATCATCCCAATCTCTTTTTCCTTTCTTTTCAACTGCTTTTTCTCATTTGGTAATATTCTTTTTAATTTGAGAAACTAGCATTCCATACTATATTCACAATGATTTTACATTATGAATTTGCAAAGTGGCATAATGAGGTTCAGATTTGTTCTCTGTTCCTTTCACAATAATTCACAATATTCTATCTGATTTTTGACTGCCACTCAGCGCTGCTCTCCTGTTTCCATAAGGATATCTATTACCACTCAGAATGAGATTTAGGGCTGTAATAGTCAACTCACAACGCATACAAGAATACATTAAATTAGGACCATTCTTCCCTTGCCATGCCCCTTCCCCCACTCCCAAGGGCATAATTATCTATTAATCTACATTGAATTTAATCAGCTGTTTTATCATAGCATTCTTGGATTGCTTTGCAGCTCTTTATCATGAGTAGATGGTACCACGAGCAAACTGTTGCCTCAGTATTCTTTCTTCTTCTGATCATTTAGGAATATGCTAAAGAATATACTGCAGCACAGAATAGTCGACTGTGTTGGCAAATTCTATTCATTGTGACAAATGATGGTTTACCGTAGTTTATAATCCACTGCTAGTCCATCTGAAAACCTTCTCTGTTATCTCATGGTCTCTTAGTTCATAGAAGATTTTTGCAAGAAATCACGATAAACTGCTTTTGGAAATACATTTACTTAATTCAGAAAAAAACTGTCAGACCTGATTTTATTGTTTTGTTGTTTTTTTTTTTTTTTAACAGAAGATTAAGCCTTACCCCAATATATGTTTTCTACTTGTCCATCTAATATGTATATTCTTCAAAAAAGTTTTCTCTAGCTTACCTAATAGTGAATTTATTTGCATGTAAATTCACAACATGTTTTATCTGTTTCATCTCCAAGTTTCTTTAAAGCTCCTAAGTGAATGCCATCTCTGTCTGTAGATGTATCTTTTCTTTTTTGTCCGTTTGGTCAGAGACTTCATCCATCCAAATAATTAGATTTCAGAAAGATTCATCAATAAACAGATTTGAGAAAGATCCTCCAACATTTTTCCCCATCAAAAAGCCTTACTATTTGAAAAATCTCAACTAGTTCTTCCTAAATATACACTAAAAGTTTCAAGGCAAAAGTAGTAACACACAGGATCATGATTACATCATCCTTGAAAACAACAAGTAATTTGTCAATTCAAAATATCCAAGTAGTTCAATAAAAAAAAATAGTGCAAAATGAGTGCAGATGAGTGACCACATCTTCTGGTCACAACTCCAACTCCAAGAAGGAATGGTTAGGTAAAGGCAATTAGACTTTATGAAGCCTACCTCCCTGAAGTGTAGTTGGATAAGGATACCAGGTAATGAAAGAATGGGATCTTTATTATCATTCAGTGGCACACCTGGAAAACACACACAAAATGAGCTCATAAGGGCTCAGAAGTCAACTGATGATGTTAGAGACAATATGTCTTTTGGAACAAAGGGGAAGAAAGGAACATCTCCATGAAACCTTCAGTTGTAAGCCAGAAAAAGAAGTGAAAAACATTGCTTGCTGCGGATGACTGCCAATAGAAGAAAAAGACAAGGAGAACTTGAAGGACTATAGTAACTTGTGACTATGAAACAGAACAGAAAAGGAGGTTTGATTCCCCCAGCGAAAAAAAAGTAAAAAAATAAGGGTAGCATGAAGGAACAAAATACATGCTAGCTCTGAAATAAGACAACAAGAATATCAGGTATTGGCAACTCAAGGAGAATCAAGTCAGTAAAAAGGAACACACAAAGCAAAAAGAAGGGATATTCAGAGTTGCAGATGGAATTAAAAATTACACTCACAAGTAAAGGCTGGAGATTCACAGAAATATGTGGAGAGGCAGTAGTCCTGGTTTAATCTTCAGCTGGGCTAAAAATCCCAAGAGCAGGCCTGTGAGATCACAGCCTCCTTGCTAGCTGCAACAGTCTGCTCATGGAAAGGGATCACAAAACCAAAATGGCATCATGTCTGTTACTGGCAAGTGGACCTGCAACTGGAAAGCATCACAAGGAAACTGAGAAACAGTTACAATCCCTCAAAACCAGCACCACCCAATTCCCACTGGAAAAAAAATATAGACGACTAACTCTTTCAGGGAATACTTTCAGACAAATAGATATTTGTATGAACTTCAGGGGCATCAAGCCACAAGAGGAGTAAAATGTCTATTAAGAGATTGGACTAACCAATAGTTAAATGATGAGTGGTATAAGAAGCATCTTGAGTGTTTGACTGTTGAGGTGCATTTATTGAAGGAAGTAACTTTTCAAGAGATAAATTTGACTTGAACATTCCAGGGAATAGCTACCTAGGATCAGAGCTGACACAACTGTTAAGAACAGCTTCAAACTAAGAAATTATAGATCTCCAAACACTAGAGGAAGGAAAAAATATAGGGTAAATGAGAATCCAGGCATGGTTTAAGTAATCCTGTGGTAACAGGAGAACATATGGTAAAGAAAAAGAATTGACTGTGAACAGCAATCAAGTAAAAGAAGACAACATGCCTGAGTCTGCTCTATAAAATAATGGAGTAAGAAACAAGTCTGATGTGTAAAGCTTTCTCAGCACAATAGAAGATCTCAAACTACATTTATAGGATGTAAAGAAAAATTAAGGAAAAAAATAAGCTTTACAACACAGAATTAGGGACTGGAGCACAGATATAGAAGGGCAGATACCATTCAGGAAAGATAACACTAAAGATGATAGCTGTGGGGCACTCACTAAGCTATAGGGCATTATGAAGGAAACACTTTTTATGACATCCGCGGTCAGATATAATCTTGGATAATGATCACTGGAACATCATTGGAAATTGAAATACTATTTGCTATTGTGACAGGAGACAAACTTCCTGACAAAGACTAGAACTAACCACATTTTCAGGTAATGATTGCAGTGCAGGAGACTCACTATGGGATGTTACAACCAACAAACATGCATAATACCCAGAGCTAACAAAAACTTACACTGCTTAAATTTTATTTTGCCATGTAATGAAGACTTAAATATTTTAAAATTGAAAGCTGACTTGGCATAAATTAAAGGGCGAAAATAATAGTTTCATAATGCAATTATAAACTTCAGTAAACCTAGGGGTCTCTTAAGGGAACCCAAATGAACTAAGGAATTTAGACACTGAAGTATCTTTCAAAGATAGTAGGATACATAGGGAACAGAATTCCAGACAGCTAGAGCAGAGTCCCAATCTAATTATATGAAGAAATGTTACAAAGTAGGCTATCAGCTACAACTGAAGAGGTGAAAAATGCTGCAAGGATTATGAGGGTCATTTAACCTCAACAATATCATGGAAATTGAATGGAACTTGCCAACTTTTTTCATGGCACAGTACAGCAAAGTAGAGCCAAAAATTAATAAAAAGAAAAAGGAGAAGGAGAAGGAGAAGGAGAAGGAGAAGGAGAAGGAAAAGGAAAAGGAAAAGGAAAAGGAGAAGGAGAAGGAAAAGGAAAAGGAAAAGGAAAAGGAAAAGGAAAAGGAAAAGGAAAAGGAAAAGGAAAAGGAAAAGGAAAAGGAAAAGGAAAAGGAAAAGGAAAANAAAGGAAAAGGAAAAGGAAAAGGAAAAGGAAAAGGAAAAGGAAAAGGAAAAGGAAAAGGAAAAGGAAAAGGAAAAGGAAAAGGAAAAGGAAAAGGGAAAAGGAAAAGAAAAAAAAGAAAAAAGAAAAAACAAGAAAGAGAGAAAGGGAGAAAGGGAGAAAGCCATATCATGATTTGGTGAGTTTGAAAAAAAAAAGATTATATAAATTGGGCCAGGAGCTGAATTAGTGTTTTGCATCTGTTTTCAAACAGACTTCGATGACAGACTATGAAGATTGCCAAGGATAGCAAGAGGAATACAGAACAGAAATTATCACAAATTAGGTAAAAGTACCAAAAATTCAAAGCACTATTATACCCTGGGTACCACTGGGAAAAAGTAAAACTTTTTCCCAGTGATACCAACAAATACGATAAGAAGGAGGTTGCAACCTCTCCCTTTTTTTCCTCATCTGAGGATAATATTGTTGACAAAACATAAGAAAAGGTTTGAAAAAGACTCAAGAGATTGACCTCTGATTTTCAGGCAGCATAATTTCTCAGATCCTTGCCTTTGCAAGACAGTTCTGGCAACATTTTTGCCATTCCATAAACTCCACAAGGAATTGGACATGCCAGTCCACACTAACTGTGGCTTTCCATCACCACATGAAAATACAGGGGCAAAAATATTTGGGATATTGACAATTCAGCAGCTTCAGGATCACCTTTCAC